GCTAATTAGGTAATTAATATGTACTCATATTACCCTAAAAACTATCAGGTCTGTGCAGTGTCCTATGACATCTATGTACCAAATTTCATTGAAATGTGATGATTACTACTTGAAATATCAAAAGCTGAAAAATAATTAATCATTATGCAAATTAGGTAATTAATATAGCAAAGATTTTTACCCAAAACTAATCAAATCTGCGCATTAGTTTGGAGCATCTGTGTGCCAAGTTTCAGCAAAATCCAATGAGTGGTTCTTTAACAGTCATGGAACAGTTAAAAATCAGCTAATTATCATGCAAATTAGGTAATTAATATGCATGGATTTTTACCAAAACCTAATCAAATCTGCGCATTGGCCCAGAGCATCTATGCACAAAGTTTCATCAAAAACTGATGTATGGTTCTTGAGATATCAGTGGAACAGACGGACACACATACACACAGACAGACACACTAACTGCAAAGACTCCCTTTTTGTGCTTTGCACAGGGAGTCAAAAACATTCATTCAAGACCAATATATACGCAAACCTATTCTCCATTGTAGACTGAATGCATGTTCCCATATCTACATTAAGGAATAGCTACACAAAAAAAAGAAAAGACTCACATTCAGTGAATGTTATTGTTTATCTATTGTTTATTTCAGCACATAAACATGATTACTTGTAGATGACATGCAGTCATTTCTGTACATAATTTATTTCATTTTCTACACACAACTTCAGCTTTATACTTAGAAATAGGATCAGCATATACATACACAAGACATTACACATAAAATACAGCAGGTCAAGTTCAGTTTTATGGTCACTAGGATCATACTGGCATACTACCGTAAATAACAGACAGGGGCATGAAATTAAATTGGTTCTTCTCGGGCGTACTGTTAAACACATTAATTATTAGCTGGTTTTTAATTTTGCTATTTTTGTCGAGTAAAACTCTCCAAATTAAATTCATGTGAACATGTACAACAGAACTTGTTGTTTCTTTGTCAAATTCATGAACTTAAAATTGCTCAAAACATGAAAACAGTGAAACTAAATGCCAATGAAAATAAAAGGTTTTACAGTATAATGACACTGCAATTCACAATAATGTCCAAAAGGTCAAGTATCAGTAGATGCCTCTCTCAACTGGGTTATTAAAAGCTACGTGTCAAGAAGCGACAAGCATTATTTCATTCTTTTGCAATGTATTTAGAATTACAGAAACACACCCAGCCATTGTTGCATGAGATAGGCCACCAGTTGACACTCTCGACTTTTTCAATCTGACATCAACTACACAGCGCCCCCTAGTGTCAGGTAGAAACTATATGCAAACTAAGTGACAATTCAAGAAATAACACCACCACTGCGAAATTCAATTCAGGTCAGGCACAGCAACGTATATAACAATTTTTTTTGTTTGGTTTGCCCGAGGCTTTAGGCACAGCTTCACAAACTTTTGTACCTTGTGGTGTAATGATAGTTAGACTGGGCAGATACGGAAGTCAAGCGTGTATGGGATGAACTGATTAAACTAAAATAAATGCACATAAAAACTATAAATAATTCAAATATAAATAAAATAAAATAAAATAAAAAAAAAATGCTTGAATGATGAAGTTTGAAGTAACACGGTTAGTCCAGTAAAATTTATAGGAAAGCAGACAGTTGTGTAAGTCTACTACAAGTAAATAATACAAGACTGTTAGATCAATACCATCTCAAGCAGCTGAATAAAGAGCATCAACTAAAACAGTAACAGTATTGTGATGACTTGAAAGCTGGGATAAAAAGCCTATAGTCTACTAAATGTACTGAAACGAGAGGCAGACATGTTTAATATTCAGGCAATCAGGCAGTTCTCTATGACCTTTAAATACAACAAATAATGCCAAGTGTGCTATAAACAAGAAAACGTGGAGCTATTACATCGCTCCCGCGATCTTGAATACTGGCATTGTCATACCGAGTGTGAAATAAGATTTGTGAAAGTCAGCTCAGTTGTATAAACCACTCCCGTGTTCATGGTTATGAACAACAGACAAATACATGTAGATCATTCCATTTTACGAACAAAAATGGGGTCGAGTGAGGCTAAAAAAGATGTGTACAGCTTGTTCGATCTGTACGAGTTCTAGGTTGAATGCATTTATTGAGGAATGTTGTATTATGGGAAGACTGCATAGATTCTGATTGCAAGGGACAACAAATTAATAAATATCTGCTGTGGAACGACACATCATAGCAGCATAATAAATACGCATGACTGTCAATCACAATCGTTTCATAATTTTTCCCCAAGGACAGGAGTGTAGGGGGGGGGGAGGTGGAGGGGGAGGGAGGAGATGCATACATGACAGCATCACATGTCAGCCTCGTATTTTTTTTCTCTTCAAAATCTAGGATCTTAAGTAAATATTATTGCAGCTATGGCTGGTTGAGGATGTTTTTGATTTCATCCAAGTAACTTGATAACAAAGTATCATTTGAACTCTTGCCATCCACAGATAAACTACCACTAGGCTGCAATAAAGAACAAAATACATTAGTTGACATTATTGGTATAAATTACAATAACGTTGTAGCGTGGCATGGGCTACATGCAATTTACTTAGTCCAGGCCAGCAGGCAGTATATATTTTGTATTTTTGTGAGACAGTAGATGACAAGTTTTGATAGCCATTTAAGATGTTTGTATTTACCGATTGATTTTCAATGTGAACTTCAAGCCCAAGCTATCAGTTTCACCATAGAGGGCGTACTTTTATTATATTTAAAAAGCTATTGTCACTATTTTGTTCTCTTTTGGAAAATTAATATAAAATCAGATGACAACTATTGAAAACGATTACTGCAAAACCATTAATTTTACTGTCACGCGTTATGCAAAAAAATCCTTTGCTCACACAAGTTAATTGTTTTGCCATAATTTTATTACATAGAAAGTCAAGTCTGTGTTCAAAAACGTTGAAATTGATTATTTTAATTTTAATTGCCAAATGTTGAACGTACACATACTCAAACTATAAAAATTTATCATGTGTTGGGAGTGTCAAAAAAAACAGGTTGATGCTGCACTGCTTTCAAATACACCAACACACAGAGCCTCAAACTGGCTTTTCCTTATCCCTGTCAAATTCGGATAAAGTAGGGTTTATTTTATAAGACTATGTCATTCAAAGGGTTAATAATCGACAATGTTGGGTTTTTCAACCATAATCGTCATTGCTGTTGTGTGTATAACCGAAATGTACGAGTGTAAGAAGAAAGTAACAAACTTACCAACTGCTTAACTAAGAGACATACATGATGTTGTTGGATAGAGCAACCATAGAAAGACGCTGTATTATTAACACGCTCTACCAGTGATAAATGCCCATAAAAACATGTCTTAGCTACAATATGTGAGAATTCAGTATCTCTTGTGGTCAGATTAATGGAACTTTTGAATGAGAGGTCACCACTACCAAGCAATTCGGCAAACCGATCACTGAAAAACAAATAAAAATTCATGATATTTAAACAAAATTAAAATCATGCATGCCATTTCATAATTGATTGAGATAACAGAATGTAATCATGTAACTGTTGGTTTATTCACAACCGAGAACAGAATAGTGCGACTGTTCTTGGTACACGCGGACTGTGGAACGCTTGTTGTGTACGCCAAAGATGGAGCACTGTTTGCTGTGTCTACATCAACTGCTATTGACATGTAAAATATTCAGCCGCTGAGATGAGACATGGCAGTAAATAATAAAATACAAAGACAGTATTTATACTTGTATTGCAAGCATCTTGCATTTTACAGCGTACATGCAACAGTCACACACAATTCTGTCCTCGGCTGTATATATTGGGTATCTGAGAGAATAGTTTTTTTTTCAACAAACCTATTACACGGTGCCCCTAAAAAGTATGCTGATACAGGCAGTAAGAGCTTAAAGTCAATCTTTTCACACGTCGTACCTTCATCATCCTGTAAGTATGAAATCACAAATACTTAATAATACAGATGAGGTGTGCTGTGCTCACTATTATGTTTTCTAGATCTGTTTTAGCAATTCAGGAGATATCGAGATACAATCATCCAACTTAAACATTTCAATGTTCAAACAGCAAATTAAAATAAACTGGTTGATTGAAGAAATAGATTTTTATAAATTTTTTTTGTTTTTGAAATTATAGTCGTGTGTTAAACAAGCAAAGAATTAAATTGTAGGCTTCACACCACTTAACAGTGGATACATTATTCTTTAAATATGTACGTAAACGTTGAACCCTCACCTTAATCATGTAAGTTAACGTTCCTTTTAGTTTTTGATTCATTGTAATATTTTGCAGAGTAAATGCAAACTGGCCTTCATTAGCAGCGCTAGGGGGAAGCTGGAATGGTACTTTCACGCCATCATGTGGTGTAGCACCGTGCTGTAATCAAAACAAATGATCAGGTTAAATCAATTCATGACAGAGCTTGATCTTCAAGGTTGAGGGAGCACCCAATCACAAGGCCAAAATTGATAAAATTACTTTGGCATCATAAGTCATGTTCAGGCTACATCAAGTATGGGCTATAAAGCTAATCTCATACGTTTACATATCAACTGGACCCAATTGTAATCACGCACAGGAGGAAACAATAGTATAGAGTCATCATCAATTTTTTTTTTTTCCAGAGATCAATGTCCGTAGATTTGCATTTGTTGATTGACATTTCACAAATGGCATATCAAAATGAATAGTTAAGAATAAAGTAAATGCAAATGGACATTGAATACAATGATGTTTCGGCCCCAAGCTAGGTGTTCGCACATGTTTTCTTAGCACGGGCTAACGTTTTTGACCTCTTAGCCCGTGCCAAGGAGCTGTGCATGAATACAACTATAGGAATAGTATAAGGAATACTGAAGGGGACCAAGGAAAATTGGTTGAGCATCTGTTTCAAGACAATAATTATTGTGTTTGATGTCTCCATTGAGTTCAAGGCCTGCATCTCACTCAAATAGGTATCACCATTAGTTTTAAAGGAGTGGAAAACAAAACTGTTGAACTTACCTCCCTGGTTAATTTTGTATTCAATGAATCCATGACATTGAAGTCTAGGGACTTTAAGTGCTTGTCTGATAAATTACTGAATATAACAGATACTATAACTTGCTGTGGTTGCGTCGGTGAAACTCTTGTTTCGTACGTCTATAAACAGAATACACATGTAGAAATTGTTCTTACATATAAATATAAAGGAGTACATCATCTTTGGTATAAATTCAACACAATTCATGTCATCACAGTTTTACAGGCTACAAAACTCAATAGCAAACAATGTGTGGATGATGATCATGCTGTGAAGGCATATACCTGGGCTTATACAACACGATTTGAATGAACTGTCATTGACATAGCCGTTTTTTCTGTTATTAGGAAATTGAGATTTCTTCTTTTCAGAATTTACTACAAACCTCAAGCTAAATTAGTATAAAATGACATTAGTAATTATATTGAAACGCTATATTTCTAGCTTTCCTTTCTGAATTACGAACTTTACTAACACTTCTAAAAAATCTGGTGAGAGCCCAGTAGTATTATATCAGCAAAAAGAGTTTTCAGAAGAAACATTCATATCAGAGAAAACAAGTCATTATCAATGATAATGTTTTTAGTGACTTTGTCAAACAATGAAAAGCAAAGTATGTTTAAATATTAGTATTTAGCATATTAACTACAAATGTGCATAAAACAGGTGTGAAGACTAAGTTTGAATGAAATTGGTCAAGGCATGCCCCAGAAACTGTTAATGGCATGTCCAAATGTTGATTTTTGGGATAATTAATGGCTGTCAGTTGAAGGTCAACAAAATAAAACACAGGATATTCACATGTATCATGACTTGTGATGTACTAACTTTGAAAAAAACAACAACATTTAACCCATTATATCTTGCCTTTGTACCAAATTTAAACCCAATCTGTAAAATTATCTCTGTAAAATGGGCAGAACACTTGTAAACAAGTCATTGTCAATGACACGTCCCCGTTCCGTTCATATTTGAGTGACATATACATTCAAAGCAGATCATGACCGAAATGCACCTGCATATGTACAACACATTGTGCTAAATCTGAACAAAATCCATCCATGCATGACTGAGATCCGGTTCTGGAATTGTGAAAATACGTGATTTTGATGCATTTTTGGCCTTAACAATAGCGGAATGATGGCCATTTTAAGCA